TAGTAGTAGTAGTAGTAGTAGTAGTAGTAGTAGTAGTAGTAGTAGTAGTAGTAGTAGTAGTAGTAGTAGTAGTAGTAGTAGTAGTAGTAGTAGTAGTAGAGTAAACACTAGTCTTAGTAGTATGGTATCAGTAGTAAAAGCAACTGCTGCTGCTCCTGCTGTAGCTGTGATATGCCGTAGGATTAGGCCGGGGGTGGTTGGGGGTGGGGGGGGTAAGCTACGACCTGGTAGAAAGTAGAAACTACCTACAACAGGCTGTAATAAACATTCACATACGTATACATAAACACAAGGTATAACAATAGACTCTGAAGACTTAAAAGTACAAAATTATGTATTGCATCCATTTTTTTACAGTGCATGTATTATTTTACATTACTGGCACTTGGCAGACTTCTATCAGCCCTAAATAACATTCACATACATTCTGACGTAAACTGAACTCAGATTATTTCAGTTTGTAAAATAGGTAGTCCTCCCAAAAATTTCAAGTATCAGGTTCATTAATCTAAAACACCTCATAACAGAAAGTCATATATATACAAACACTTTTAAATGGAAAGATTACAGAAGGTATGTAGATGCCTCTTAACTGACATAATATACAAGCATTAATCGAACCACTAAGCGGAAGGATGTTATGTGAAGTACTTATCCCTTTTCAGAATATTTCAGCTCAGACCAATGTGGTTTTGAGGAACTATCAAAATCTTTTCTCAAAGTGTGTAACTACTTTCAAACATACCCACTGGTGACATTTAAGCCCCAGCTTCAAATACATGTCATAACAAGTATAATAAGTTGTCTTCTCAGCAATTCTTTTAGGCCTTCTTTGCTGTATTCGCCTGTCCATAATTTTTTTCAGGTTTTTTTTTTCAGCTTCATGTCATTGGGTTTTTTTCCTTCGGGAAATTTATCGTCCCCTTGAGCCTACCTGTTTGCCACTGTCACTCAACATAACACAACAACACAATACCCTCTCCCTCAAGGAATGCCCTGTGTTTGGCTTAAGATTAAAGAATATTGTAATAGCATTATTAATGACAAGCAATCAAAAAGCTATGCCACCCTCAAGGCGAACAACAAAACAACAGCAACAAAAGCTCTTGAATTTAAAAAAAATGAATAATGACAAAAGAAAAACACCAGTACCAACTACAATGAGAAGAAGACCAACACTACTCGACGATTACAAGGAAACAATTATGTGATAATATAGTATTTATAGGCTTGTAGAATTGTGCAATACGTTAATTTTCTTCTCTCTTTCAGATTTAGAATTGTTTGTGCACATGATTTCCACTGGTGAAAAAAAAAACATGTTACGTCAGACTTAAAACAGCCTTGTATTTTTATGGGAGACCTAAAACGGTCATGAAAACAATGACTGAGGCATTCATAAGTCAACAGCATTGGCACAGTCCATGGAGGATGATATGCTTTAAGCATTACATCGTTCAGGTGATTTTTAAGGGCAAATGAATTCAATGTGTAGTTCCAGACGCTGCAGCCCTATGGAAAATTGAAGTTGAATAAAGGTTTTAACACCCCGTGCAACACTGTAATGTTTTTAAGAGGCGGGACCTCCGAATTTAAAGCACATCTTCGACAGGACGAAATCAAAGGGGAAAATGTATTAAAGTGCCTTTTCCAAGGACACAACTTCAGACAGAGCTGAGGCGCGAAACCCCAAACCAGTATTCTCACTATTACGAGCACGCTAACCTAACCACTAGACTAGAAACTACCAACGCCAACGCTGTTGAAGGAAATGTAAGCGTTAAAGACGCAACAATCCCATTGTTCTCAATGACCATTTACATACACATATATAGAACAAGGCCTTGAGATGTGATATCTTGAATACCAGGCTGCAGAGCTATTGGAAGAACCAGGAAAAGGGGGACAGGGGTTTTCCAGTTTGCCTTCCAACGACACATAATGGAATAGGTGGCAGGTAAGATAAAGTAAGTAGTCTAGTGCACGGCGGAAACCATAAAGCATTCGTTGCTATGCGACATTATCGTTATAAAATCTTAACGATCAAGTTATAAAATAATTGCCCCAAAAGGCACTAAGATCTGGTTTATTCATTTTTCTTAAAATAGTAAACTGTGATACATTCGAGAATGAGGTATCCATAGAAAAGCTGAGTTGGGGAAGAAGTCACCTATATTGATCTTAAGTCTTAAAACTGTGAATGTGGGAACACAATTCTTCTTTCAAGGATAATCTTAATATTTCAGGGTTAATCCCTGGAAGCTTAAGAGGTGGGGGGGCTACAGCTGAAGGCTATCTCGCTTATTAGTTGATCAAATGTTACCAAAATTCACATATATAGCAAGAATAGTAAGGAGTCTTAAAAACCGTAATCAAATTAGAGAATAAAAGTTTCCTTTCCTCGAATACGGCGGCCATATTAGATTTTGTTGACACATCTCACGTAATTAATACCACACTTATTTTTCAGGGGAAAAAATTGGGTTGTTTTTTTTTGCATGCATCTTGGCAAACCATAGATCTGCAAATCTGTGAGATGATTTTTTCCTAAACGTCCTAGAATATTTTTAATGAATGTTTTCCCAATGTAGTATTCACGCTTGCAAAAAATCCGTAAAAATCCACTCTAAACACTACCAACGAAAATCTGTTGCATATATATATCAGAAATTCAACACACAGAGTTTTAGTTTTCCATCTTTTCTTCACTGTGTGAAAATTTCATGAAGATTGGACGAAAAATGGAGGAGTTATTTTTAAAAGTATATAGAAAAACCTCGTTCCGAGAAAACGGCAAAGAAAAATAAAAGATTAACTTTGTGAGGAAATAGTAGTAACAATCAGGCCCGGTATGGGAAGAAATTCGGCTTTAGGGGTTTCTTGTGCGATGAAATAGTTGTAAGAGAGGCTGAGGAAGCTAAAAATGCCTACAACTTGAAATCCATAGTTTTGAGCCGAATCAGGACTTTCAGCTGTAGTCTCCCCCCCCCCCCCCCCCTCAATAAATATTCTTTGTTGTAAACCACAACTGGCAAAAGAATAGCTATTCTCGACGCATCTGAACACTTTCTACTGGTGATCCAGAAGTCTTTTGAATTAAAAGTGACTTGCTCATGTCCCGTCTGCCTCCGTTCTCCACTTTCTCTGTCTGGCTCTCTCGTCTGTTAGAACCGAAATCTGTCTTGTCCAAAAGCAGGCCATTGTCCTCTAAGTGTATTTCCATGACCTTAGGTATCTTGAGGTCAGCTTGTGCCCATGGCTGAATGTTCCCAGAAGCGAAGATGGTGTAGAAGATACATCCAAAGGCCACGACCCCAGCAGACACGAGAAAGACGATCTGCCACGTCTCACGTGAGGGATTCTGGAGTAAAACGCAGAGGTAAACACAAATATAAATGGGCGATAAAAAAACAACTAAAACAAATGCTAAAAGCCTGAATGGAACGACAAAGGCATAGTAATAGAATTTTTATTCGTTGTTTATAATAAAAGCTTAGACACTGACACCAATTTAAATCCACGTGCGATAGCAAGCCGATTGCTAAAAGTATAAACTTACCGTACTACTAAATTTATACAAAGACCAAGTCACCGAAAAGCGTATTTTACCAGAGACCAAAAAAAAGTTCTCCTCTCTTCAGTTTGTTAGGTGGAAATCTCTAATAATAGTGGCGAGGAAATGGCAAATCATCCGTACTTTACTTTTATCCGCCGCTTATACCCTTTTGGGGGTCGCGGGAAGAAAGAGACGTCTCTCTGCCACCAGCCGAAGAGCTTGGGTCAGGGGGATGCCGTAGGCGGTTAATGTTTCCCTGACTCCATCTATCCAGATTCAGGTCTTTCTCGGTCGCCCTCTAGTCTTGTTGCCATCGAATTTTTTTTTTATGTAGGCCCGTTGTACTGGGTGGTGTGTTGGTAATCTCATGAGATGTCCGAACCATTTGATTCTTTGGTGTTGGATGTGATGCATGACATAATTTGTGCCCACCATTTCTCTGATTACTGTGTTTCTAATTTTGCTCGCCTGGCCTTGTCTACTGCTTTTCTAAGGTATCGCATTTCACATGTTGCTCTAATGTCTTGTTCGTGGTCCATGTTTGGCATTGATGGGTGAGTGTTGGGATGAATATGGTGTTGATCATTTTGAGTTTTGTTGTCATGGGGATGTTAAGATGGTCCAGTAGTATAGTAAGCTGGTAACTAACATTATTGGCCTTTTGTACTCGTGTTTCAATTCCTCTGTTCAGTCGCCCGTCCTCGGAGAATATACTTCCGAGGTTCTTAAATTCTTGGACCTGTCTGAGACTGTTGTTGTTGATGTGAATCCTGAGTGGTTCTGGCTCTCTACTTACTTTCATTGTCTGTTTTGTTGATGTTGATCTTCATGTCATAGTTGTTACATTCTTCCTTTAATCTGGTTGTGTGGTTTACGAGATTTTGTTCAACTTTGTGAGTCAGACTTAGGTCATCAGCAGAGAGTAATTCATTTAGGGTGTCTGGTTTTGTGTTGGCCTCTTTTGTAATTCTATCCATATATATGATAAACAGTAGCGGTGATAGGACACTACCTTGTCTAACTCGGGATGTTATCTTGAACCATTCTGTGAGTCCCTGTACTTATGCTGTTCTCGTAAATGGCACAGATGTTATCTAAAAGTTGGCCCCTTACAGTGTAGTTTTCGAGTTCTTTCCGCATTTTGTTTCTGTTCACTCTGTCGAACCCTTTCTCCTGGTCGACAAATACTTTGTTTAGTTCCCTGTTGCGTTCTATTACCCTTTCGCACATTTTTCGTGGGGCAAATATTGCGTCGGTGCATCCTCTTCCCTTTCTAAATCCCATTTGGACCTCACTCAGAAATGGTTCAACTTTGTGCCTTGTTCGCCATTCCAATATCTTGGTGAACATCTTGCCCACATGGCTTAGCAGTGAAATTCCTCTGTACATTCGACAGAAATCACCCGTACAGAAACAAAAAATTAAACCATTCAGAAGAACAAGCTTTCTTATATTTTTCATACATGTTCAAATCGAAACTCGAATTAGCAAAACTGGTTAAGTTCATTGCCAATTTTAACCAATAATCTGGTATGGAGACCATCAAAAACAGAATTAAGGACTCGGAACTCTTGAGTTTGGAAAGAGAAACAAGAAAACAAAATACAAACAAACAAACAAACACAAACAAAAGACCAACCAACAAACAAAGGATCTTACCGACCCGGTGATAGCACCCACAATTGGAGGAGTAATAAAGCCACAGAATGCCCCAAATGTATTGGCTAGAGCGATGATAAATCCTGAGTAAGGTGGTGCGATGTCTAGAGGGTTTACGTAATACCCGCAGTTCTGAATACCGATGGAAGACAGGCTGATGATGATTAACACGACTGCTACGACTGGTTGGCTGCAATCAACGAAGCCAATTGCCACAAGCGAAATGATGCAAATTATTTTCCCTGAGGACAAAGAAACAGAAGGAGAAATAACTAAAATAGCAAAAAGGCACAGTGATGAGACCCATTAGGCATCTACTACAAAACTGAAAGGAAACCATTATGCTCTTCTAAATTATCAATTTAGAATAACAAATTTGTGAGTTGATCTATCTCACTTCTTTTTCTAAAGCAAGATCTGACTCTCTCTAGTAATAGCCTAGATCTATTTGTAGTAGTTAAAACACACAAGTGTCGACAAACCCCTAAAGAAAGTACAACTTTTGTAGCTCAAAGATAAACCACATCCTAGACTGAAATTGAAGGGAGTGAAGAAAACTATTTTAATTTTTGGACAAAGGAAAAATTCCCTACACGATACCCTTTTTAAATCGGAGTAGATAACGGTGAAAAGCCAACCTATGGTACAAATTGCTCTACCTTTAAAGGGGGGGGGGGGGGGGGGGGGGGG